ACTGACACAACAGCTTTCCTGGGGGAGTGGGGGAGGGGTTATCTTTGCCTTGCAATGTGCACACCAATGTAATCCAGAGTGAAAATGATTATGTTGCAATTCCATTCCACTTTTTAATGAAATAACTCCACGAAGGCTGGTATCCCATCACCAAATCATCCTTTTATTTGCATGTGCATAGTACATGACCCTAACCCAGTTAGCACAAAGTCAGCTCTGAGGGTGACCAGAACCCTTGACACTCCTGTTTATATCTGACAGTCAGGGCCCCCTGATTGGATCAAGTTAACAGCCCCAATCAGTGAACTCATATTCTATGAGATCCACCTGGCTGACATCGATCCCATCACTACAGTTAATTTTAGGAATTTAACCTTCTCCAAGCCACCCACAAATGCACTCCACCCCTTGGCAGTTAAATATCTGCCTGTTACTTTGTATATTGACTCTGACAACCAGTTAATACCATATTTCCCACTCTAAGCATTATGATAACAAAACACCTCTAATTTTGCCAAAAATTTGAATCTGATGAACTTGTTAGAATGCCATATTAACTCTGGTTCATTAAAGTCAATGCAATATCTTTTCATTTTATTTGATCTTTTGATTTATAGCAGCTGAAACTGTACTTTAATGGAGTCACCACCACCTAGTTATTTTTAGGGATAAGTAGTGTTGTTTCTCAGGTTAATTTATAACTGTACATTAAATTAATTGAGCAGTCATAACAATGGCAGGAGTTCAATATGGGCAATGGTGAGGTCATTCATTTTGGAGCCAAGAGGATAAATCAGAGTACTTTCTCAATGGTGAAAAACTAGGAATTGTAAAGGAACAAAGATTTTTTAGAGTTCAAGTACTCAGATCATTTAAAGCCAATGGATAGGTATAAAAAATAATTCAAAAGGCAGGTGGACTGCTAGCCTCTATCTAACGCAGGGAGGGAGAGAATTTATGTTTCAGCTGAATATAATCTTTGTTGGACCCCAACTAAAACATTTTATTCAGTTTTAGCACCACAACTCAAGAAGAATATATTGGCCTTGGAAGGGTTGCCAGTTCACTTTAGCCAGCTCTACTCTCAAGCTTACAAATTACCTTTATTTAAGTTTTATATAATAGTCTTGTGCCTGCTCCAATCTCTGTCAAACTTCTAACTAGAGTCACCTTCACCATGAGATAATTTTTGCTATTCAGTTCTGAGGAAGAGTCACCGGACCTAAAACATCAATCCTGATATTTTCTTCACAGATACTGCCAGATCTACTGAGCTTTTCCAGCAATATCTGTTTTTGTTCCTGGTGGAATCTGCTGTCTGATCGGCAGAACATGCTGTTCTAAGAAACTATCTCAAAAACATTCTATGAACTCCTCATCTAGGCTATCTGAATTTTCCAGTCTATGCGTAGTTTAATGTCTCCCACAATTAGCATCATGCCTTTCTGGCAAGTTTCCATTACTTCTTCCTTTATGCTCTGCCCTATTATGTGTTTACTGTCAGAGGGACTTATACACCAATCCCACAAATGAGTTTGTACCTTTATCATTTCTTATCTCTGTACAACCATTATATATAGGAACAGAGTAGGCCATCCCACCCATCGCGAATGCTCCACCATTCAATGAGACCACAGCTGATCTGATAATCCTCAATTCCACTTTCCTATTGCATGCCTTCCTTCATTGGAAGGGGCATTGAGTGTAAGGATAGGCGGTTTTATAGAACTTTAGTTAGGCCATACTTGGAATATTGCATACAGTTCTGGTCACTATACTACCAGAAGGACGTGGATGCTTTGGAAATAGTATGGAAAAGGTTTACCAAGATGTTGCCTGCTCTGGGGGATTTTAGCTATGAAGAAAGGTTGGATGGACTGGGTTTATTTTCACTGGAATGCAGGAGGTTGAGGGACGACCTGATAGAAGTTTATAAGATTGTGAATGGCATGGATAGAGTGAAAAGTAGGAGGCTTTTTCCCAGGGTGGAGTGTGGGATACAAGCTCAAGATGCGAGGGGGAAGTTTAAAAGAAATGTGTGAGGCAAGGTTTTCACACAAAGGGTGGCGAATGCCAGAGGAGGTGGTTGAAGCAGACACAATAGCAGCATTCAAGAATCACCTGGCTGAATACATGAATGCAAAGGGAAGCGAGGGATACAGATCCTGTCAGTGAAGACAGTTTTACTACGGAAGGGCAAAATGTGTCAGTGCAGGCTTGGAGGATCAAAGGGCCTGTTCCTGTGCTGTAGTGTTCTTTGTTCTTTGTCCTGCCTTTTCCCCATAATCCTTGATTTCCTTCTCTGATTAAAAATCTATTGATCTTAGCCTTGAATATATTTTAACAATCCAGCCTCAACAGTTCTCTGTGGTAAAAAGTTCCACAGATTCGCTACCCTCTGAGAGAAGGAATTCCTCCTCTTTGTCCTAAGTGGATAAACCCTTACGCTGAGATTATAACCTCTGGTGCTGGACTCTCCCAGAAGGGGAAACAACCTTTCTGCATCTACCCCACTAAGAATCTTGCACATTTCAATAAGGTCACCTTTCATTCTTCTATATTCCAATGATTACAGCCCCAATCTTCTCAAGCTCATCTCTTTCAAAAAAATTCCTCCTTTCCCAGGATCAATCTTGAGAAATTTCTCTGGCCTGCATCCAATGCTATTATATCTTCCCTTAGATTAGGGGACAAAAACTGTTCAAAATATTATCAGTGTGGACTAATTAGTGCAGTGTATAGCTTTAGCAATTTTAATACTCTGTTCCCTTTGAAATAAAGTCCATTTTTTCATTTGTCTTCTCTTTTAATTGCTAAGCTTGTATGCTAGCTTTTTGGGATTTATGCATGAAAAACCCAAATTCCTCTAAGTTCCAGTTTTTTGCTTTCTTCCTCTATTTAAATACTATTCACCTCTTTTCTTCTTCCTACTAAAGTGCATAACCTCACAATTTCCCACATTCTATTCCACGTGTCAAGTTTTTCCCACCCACTTAACATGTCTCTAACCCTCTACAGATTCTACATCCAAGAACCTGGCTATAGTACATTCACTTTCCTCATCTAAGTAATTAATATATATTTTCAATAATTGTTGCCCCAGCACTGAACCCTGTGGCATACTACTAGTTGCAAATTGCCATATTGAAAATGCCTCCATTATCCCAACTCTCTAGTAGATAGCCAATCCTATATTTATGCAAATATACTGCCATTAGTACCATGCACTCTTATCTTATTAAGTTGCCTAATGTATGGTTCCTGATCAAATGCCTTCTGGAAATCCAAATATATTACATCCATTGGTCCCACTTTATCTACCCTGCTTGTTATATCTTAAAATAATTCTAATAAATTTGTCACACATGATTTCCTCTTCATGAAATCGTACAGATTCTGCTTAATCAAATTATGTATTTCTAATTGTTCTGTTATTACATCCTTTATAATCGAATCTAACATTTGCCCAATAACTGATGTTAAGATGACTGTCCTATATAGGCTAACATGTTTTTTGTCTCCTTCCCTTTTTGAATAAGTGTGTTACATTTGCAATTTTCCAGTCACCTGGGACTTTTCCAGAATTTAAGGATTTTTGGAAGATTACTACCATCACCTCTCGCTACCCAAATAGTTTCCACAAGCTTGTTTCTTGTAACTTAGGCCATCCTTTCTAATGTGCTAATTACATCTGTCACTAAAAGCAAGACATCTCCACCTTTCTCCTAGCATCCTGTCCTTCCTAAATGCCATATACCCTTCAAGATTCACATCAATCCATATCAATTCACAGCCATGTGTCTGTAATGGCTAAGCAGATTCTACTTACGTATTTCCATTTGTGCTTTCTGATCATCTGTTTTGTTTTGAATGTTACATACTTTATTTATTTATGGTATCATTTTATTCTTTTTATAAATTCAAATCTAATCTGTTGGTTTATCCTTATATTTGTACTCTCTCCTTTCCTGTTTATTGTTTTGTGAGGTTGCGTAGTGGTAATGTTGCTACACTAATAATCCAGAACTTCCAAACTAATGTTCTCAGACAAAGCTTCAAATCCCATATCACAGCAAATAGTGAAAATTGAATTCAATTAAAAATCTGATGTCAAAAGCGAGTCAAGTGGTGACCACGTAACAATTGTTAATTATTGGATAAACCCTTCAGTTCATCAGTGTCCTTTAGGGAAGGAATTATGCTGTTTTCACCTGGTTTGGCCTACATTTGATTCTAGACACTTAGAAAAGCAGCTGCTTAACTCTTAACTGCCCTCTAGATAAATAGGGAAGGGCAATAACTACTAGCCTAGCCAATGATGCCCACATCCCATGAACAATCTTTTAAAAACTTTAATTTTTTTTGTTAGAAACTAAAACAGAAATTGCTGGAGAAGTTCAGTGGCCTGGCAGCATCTGTGCAGATAAACTTTCTCTTTTTGCTTGTTTCAGATCTCCAGCATCTGTGGTTCCTTGTTTTATTTTTGAGTTTTGTTAGGTAAGGATTTTAAAGATATGGAGCTTAAGTGGCCAAATGAAATTCATGCACATTAGTCATGTTCAAAACCAATGGTGAAACAGACTTGACTGAAGGAGCTACTGTTACATAATGGAATGTGATTTACAACTAATACACAATTATCTACCCAATAACAATATTCAATACTAACAGTAACAACATGCAATCATTGATGTGGCACAAATGTACAGGTTTGACTCACAACTTCACATAGGAGTGAAATTTTACATATTGTAGCAACATCCACTGGTGTGAAGGAGGAGCTTATAACTACATGCAGAAATTACATACAACTACATATAGTGTAATTTATACAACACATATGGGAAAGAAGAAATACAGTTTACAATGTTCTGATGAAGAGTGTAGCCATCAAAACTGGTCTTTCCCCTTAATTGATGTGGACCAGCCAACTGTATATGTTCTACTTTTATTACAAAAATATTATTACCGTATGCAGTACCACAGCAGAAAGTGCTTACCTGTTCATGACATTGCTCAAGAGATGTTTTCAACCATTGATGCTCTTTCCTGTGTAATTCTTCCTGGGGAATGGACACAAAAGCACCTAATTAGGCATAAGCAGCAGATTATCAAATATATCAGGAAGAAGCTATGAAAACAGAACATTTGATTCTTTCTCTTCCTGGCCATTTGCTGCCATAATTCCAAGTTTATTAGCCTCGATGGTAAATTTCAGCTCTGTCATTAAACTGATTAATAAGCTAATCATCGATTGTAAATAGCAATAGTGGATTAGAGGATAAATATTAGAGCACATACAGATCATTTACTGTCAATTCTGCAATCAGTTTTTTCCACAAGGAACCTTTAAAATCCATAGCCTGCATCATTACAGATAGTTTTTTGTAAGAGGCGTTTTCCCTCTTCTGTAAAAAATAATACTGGGGTTTCTAGAGGTACTTGATTCTTATTGCTTAGGGCTATGCCACATTTGTAAAGATATTTTTTATCTCACACTGTGTAGACAATAGACTGCTTCTGCAAGTATGCAAGGAGGTGAAGTTATTGAACAGCATTGCAAAAATGCCAAAAGAAGTCATATCCAAGGAAAACAAGTCTAAGCAAAATCTCCACAGGACTGAAAATATGTAATAAGATTAACATTAACATAGAAGATTATTCTTAATTTCCTGCTGCCTTCTAGTAATGAAAGTTTTGCTTTCTGAATCACAAATGTAGAAGAACAAAATAGGCCTGTTACATGAATGCCTAACAATCTTTGACTATTTGATATGAGTCAAGCTTATTTTCTATAAATTTGGTTTTCATTCTTCCATAGAATCTCTACAGTATGGAAACAGGCCCTCTGGCCCAACAAGTTTGCACCAACCCTCAGAGCATCCCACCCAGACCCATCCCCTGAACACAATGGGCAATTCAGCATGGCCAATCTACCTAAGCTGCATATCTTTGGACTGTTGGAGGAAACCGGAGCACACCCCCGCAGACACGCGGAGAATGTGTAAACTCCACACAGACAGTCACCCAAGGCTGGAATTGAACCCAGGCCCCTGGTGCTGTGAGGCAGCAGCGCTAACCACTGAACCACCATGCCACCCTAAATTCTATTGCTTGTATCCACTCTGCTTAAAAATGTTTAATATTAATAACCCTTTGGTTAATGAAGTCTCAAGGTCAAATGTGAATTTGACTCTTAATTTTAGGTATTGATCATGATTGGTACAATATTCCAATCACTTTGTCCTGAATTACACTTTCCTCTCCTTATACATACTCAGCATGTATCCCCAAGGACTATAAGAAAATAATGGATCAGCTGCTCACGTTGTGAATTGTACATTGAAGGCTGCATAGTCAGTCAAAATTGTAGTAATAAGGCAGGAGTTAATTAATGTGTGGAGAATGAATTGGTGCCTGAGCAAATATTAACTTGAAGTAAGTGATACCATTAATAGGACAGCTAGTGATTTATTTTTGCACTAAACTAGCATTTCAAATACTCTCAGCAGTTTTTCCTACCTTGTAAAAATGCGAACTAGTTTCGCAGCATCATATGATCTTGTCGCGATCGGGTGATGCTCAATTTGTATAACATATCATGATAAAATATTTGAAATGCAAAGCCAAAACGTGAAAATATTCCTCCATCTGAGGCAGTATACCAATCTAAATTAGCTGATTTCAATGGTCTTGAGCTGTTATTGGGCCATTTTTTCAACCTACAGCTGTCTTGCATATTCTTTGCAAAAGATTAAACAAATTATATTTAACAGATATCATCGTCTGGTTATGAAGAATACTGCAAGATTCCAAGATTCCTTCAGGCACAGCTCTTTTATAGTGCTCAGTATCTGGTGAAAGATAAGTTTAAAGCAAATAGATCTATGTTGAACAAAGTCATGAATCACTGACATAATTTCTGGTACCAGAAACAAAAGCTGAGATTAGACCCTACTTAGTTACCACAGATATGTTCAAGGGTACAAATGTCTTTACAGTAGCTGTTTCATTACCTACACAAAGTAATTGCAAATCTGTAAAATCAATGTGTTGCTTAATGTAGAGTAAGTTATTGCTGATTTTTTAAAAAAATGATAAGTTTAATGACCTTAACTGAGCAGAAATTAGTCCCTTGACTAAAATAAGCTGTTATGCGTGACTATTTACAGCTTACTGAATAGAAAATGGTAATATTTGATGATCTTACTCCAGGTTATTCAAAAACCAGCATTCATAGGATGTTTATCCCCCTCCCAACTAGATCACTTACTAATGTTTGAGACGTGGACACACACAGTAGAGAACATGGATGTGAAGTACTTGAACTACACAGGAAGACAAGATCACACTACAATCATGCCCATTGTTATTTAGCTTTAAATAAAGAAGATGCAACATTGCATTGGAAGCTGAGGAACTTCCAACAAACAAATTTTGCATGGCCTCCACTCGTCTGTGTGTAGTACCCTTGTCTTCTGAGAGGAAAAATGTCATGGCAATCATGTAGACAGGAGTTACACATCACGACCACATGGAAACCTTTATGAGCTGACTCTGCAGGAATTGTCCTGGAAGTTGAACTTTCTGATGGGCAATTATCCAACATCTGTAACCTCCCAAAAAGTCCCCAACTCTGAGTGAGAGTTTGAGGCTTGGAAGTAATATTTACTCTAGATAAAGGTAGAGGTATTAAAACCAGCTCTAACTCCTGGCTAACTATTAAACTGGACAACGACACCTTTGCCTGTGGTGTTATATCTCATGGTTAGTATGTCACCATAAAGTTTCACTTCACTTGCCCTGCATCGAGACCCAGACAACAGGCTGTGATAAAGGTGCCTGGAAGTGGTAATTATATGTTCTGGGCCTTTGAGTTCAAATCGTGCTCCAGAACTGGAGCATGGAATCGAGGCTGACATTCTGGAGTGAGTCATACAATATTGGAAGGTGACAAACTTCAAATGAGACATTAAGTGAAAACCCTGTTTACCTGTTTAGGTTGGCAAAGAGATGTTATGAGAATAATACAAAAAAGAGCAGGGGAGTTCTCCTCAATATTGATTCCTTCCAGTATATCATTAGTTTAGATTATCGAATTTTTATCAAGCTTGTTTGTGTATGTTGTGAGCAAATTAACGGTTGTGTTTCTTACGTTACAACAATGACAACATTTCAAATGTATTTAATTGGTTGCATAGTATTCTGAAGTATTCCAAGGTCATGAAACAATTGGATGTTCTTTCTTTTCTTTGGTTGCTTACCAGGCTGATAAGAGGCAAAGGAATGCTACAACCCATCATCAACCATGAAGACCTCTGTGACGTAGAGTATATGTCAAAATGATGTAGAAACTGCTTGAGCACTTAGTGCCTGTGCACATACTACATAAGTTCCTGATTTGTATTTACTAAGAAGAAGTCTGCACAATGCAGTGTTCAAACTGAATGAGACGCACAATTCTGTTGCATTGAAAAGACTATCTGATTTATGAGTAATAGCCAAGGAGCTGCTACACAGACATTCATATCCCTGGTAAGAACCAAATGGATGACATTAAAAGAAATCTAAGGGCCACAAAAAGGTTCAGCTGCTCTGTCATTAGCTATGTATAAGTGGCAACTTCTTGTCTGTCTCACCACTGAGATGTATTTATTGGTGCGAAGTTGTTGTATTTACATGGTATATATGAATTAAACTTGCAACTGAAAATTTAAGTCTTATGCGTTTCAGTCCACCTATCCTTTTGATGATGTGATGAGTGTTGGTTACTGCCAATAAACCTCTCTTTGCTTTAAATTAACAATTGAAAGTATGGAGTCTTGTTCATTCAGATTATGATTGTTTGAGATTTAAAAAATGTAATTTCTTCTTTTTAACATTTTCTCTGTCTTAATCTTTCGTTATTCTCTTCATTTATCTTTCTGTAACAGCTTTGACATGGAATTCATACTCTTACAATTTCTTCTTGACCCTTACAATTTTGATTTCACAATGTTTCAATCTAATTTTTAAGTCAAGCTGTTCAGAAGGATGTTTCAGAGATTTCATCAAGAATGATGAAGGAACAGCAGTATTTTGCTCATGAGGATCTTTTCATGCCTTCCCACAGGCTTGCTGCTTGGTTTCTTTGACCTTTGGTTATTTACACAGTTTTTTATTTATTTCACTTGGATTTCATGAAACATGGTCAACCTGTACGGTCAGGCAATTGCTGTGGTTTTTTTAACTAAGTATTTTGGTCCTTTTATAAAATGATTCCAACTCATGAAAGTCCCAGATAAGGAATTATGGAATTTGAAAATCACTAGTCTATATTTTACATCATCATGACATTAAAGCCTATAGATAGTGGGATAATTCACTACTGCCGATTGTCTAAGACACCAACTAACTATGGTCTCACAGCGCCAGGAACCAGGTTCGATTTCACCCTCAGACGACTGCCTGTGTGGAGTTTGCACAATTTCTCCATGCCTGCATGGGTCTCCTCCGGGTGCTTCGGTTTCCTCCCACAGTCCAAAGATGTGCAGGTTAGGTGGTTTGGCCATGCTAAATGCCCATAGCATTCAGGAATGTGTAGATTAGTCAGGTTGTAGGGGAATGAGTCTGGGCGGGATGCTCTGAGGGTCAGTGTTGGGCCGAAGGGCCTATTTCCACACTGTAGGGATTCTACGATCTACAATCAACAAACTAATGAATCATCTAAAGAACTGTGAGGGGAAAGGGTTCAGATGAAAGCTCCATGCTATGATCATTTTACAGAGGAAGGGGTGGTGCATCTGCAAATAATTTCTGACTGTGAATCCTACAAAGGGATCATTAGGTAAGGCAGTATAGTCTGTTCTCCTGGAGTCAAATTGCAAGTCCTGTTGCTTCTTTAACTAACTCAAATTTAGTTAGTTATCTAGAAATAAATTGTGATTACTTGGAAAACATAAGTTGCATATTTGTGCACTTTTGATCACTGACTGGCTTGGAGGTTATTCATTAGAAATCTTTGCAGTTCAGGATTCGATGGGCCAAATGGCCTGCTTTCAGTCTGTAGGGGATTGTATTCTAT